AGGTTGAGCAGCCGTTCTGGGCGGTTGTGAAGGGGGGTGGAGCTGTTATTAGGCCAGCTGTCCAGGGGTTGTTGGTACCAGGCCGGCCAGGACAGCGTGGCTCCGAGTCCGATAATTGGAGCATTCGCAGGCTGACAGGGTGAGGTGAGGGGAGGAGGGAAAAACGTGAAAAAGCGAAAAAGCGAAAAAGCGAAAAGCGAGAAGAGATGTGGCCGTTTGGACAGTCAATGCAGTCGAGTGCATAGTGCAGGAGGCGGCGTCGAGGCGAAGAGAAACAGGCGTACCAGACGGTTGTTCACTTGGGCCAATTGCAACAAGGTGGAATAGCTGTAGCATTTGGACTGGCATGAGTCATGCCGCATGGGCCACCAGGCCAGACTGCAATTAAAGGTAGACAGACCAATCAGAGCAGAGCTGAATATGGCCAAAAGAATGCATTCCTCAACTGTGATTGGACAAGTCGCACGGACCAATCACTTACTTGGGTAGACTTCGATTTGCCCTTCCCAGCCAATAGGCAGCCAGTGCCTCGGACAGAGCCCGGCGTATCCAAACTACTCGCACTGTTTGCAGTTTCGTGCTTTTTATTCCGCTTTCTCTCTGTTCGCCCTCCCGTAGCATCGTGAGTCGTTTTCTGTAGCATCATTTTACCCCATTTGCCATCTTCTCAATCAGCTACATTATTACCTTTTACATTCTCATGAAATACGGGCCTTGGATATGCTTGTTTCCTTTCATTTTGCACTCAGGCCTAACCTGTCTCATTCCTTATAACCGGGATTAGAAGTGGATCTGAAATTGTGATCAACACTTAATAAGGATTACACCTTTGCCCATTTTACTACTCCCGAACACAATTTTACGTTGCGATGCATACGCATATTTTTGTATGCAAAGTGAGTCCTCATTTTATTGTTATTATAAAAATGGGTTGCTCTGGTTGTTCTAAAGGTTTTTCTGGCCAGTACTCTTTTCTGGGACCCAGCTCCTGCCAGTACGTGCTCATTAAGTCAGCAACTGCTCGCTCCATTTATACCAGTTTCCCATTACCTTTAAAACGCCACCGAAACTCTCATCCGATAATGCGTTATTTGAAGGGTTGTCTATCCCCGATCTTGGCATCACGTTCGCCCATTTTATTATTAGCTATTTCATTCATTAATGTCTATTCTTAACCCTTTCGACTCTTCTGCCTGGATGCGTTCCCTAAAGACGTTTTGGGCAGCTCCGCTTTCAAGTAAATATACTTAACGAGTTTATTTTGGTAACTTCATACCTTTCCGTTGTGTGTATTCTGATCTGGCACTAGTCGATGCGTAACTCAATTGGCCTAGATGAAAATGGTTAATATCACACGTTCTTATTAGTTATTCATACATGCATACATACATACATATGTGCATCAGATAGGACACCACGGGCTTTCCTTCCAGAAATGCTTGTCGTATGTGGCCTACGCCTGTGCGTATGTGCGATTTTATGAAATTTATATCTCGGTCCCGTGTTCATTTAAAATTCTTCCCATTAAAAATGTATAAATATCTTGCCATACTTTCATTGCTTTTAGTGTCCATCTGCTCTTGTATATTGCCTTATTAATTGCATATAAAGCCATCGATACACTTTTATGAAAATGGAAAAGTTTCTTTATCCATTATTATACAAGTGTATGTTGATTAACTTTTATTCTATCTGATATGCATTTTATTATATCTCTGCTTTTTATCTGACTTCTGGGGAGGGAGGGCATTCATCCGATCATGAGCTCGGAGCGATAAAAACTTATTTCCTTCTGAGTAAAATAGACTAAAATCACATTTTAACAAGATTCACTGAGACTAGTTGCGTGACTTTTTATCTGAAGGGAACTCCTCTTAAATTATACTAATGATGAAAATGTATTATTGATCGTCTTTCTGGAAAAACATTTTTCTATATTTAACTGTGTGCGTGTGCGTACATGTGCGTGAACCAGTCACTTTTACGCAGAGCCTTAGGGCTTTCTACGCAGTGAAGCTAAAACAAGGTGTAAATCCTTCCTCTGCTGATTGTAGAGCTAATGGCTTAGTAACCGATGGGCATTATAGCTTCATCTTCATTATGCTTTGATAACTGCTTCTTTTGTGGCGTCATTAGCCCATTCGATTTACAATTTACTGTTCATCATTATACACTAGTTTCTGAGTATTGTACAGCATGATTTGTATGATGATTTCTGTTTGCACATTCCAACTGCTGTAGGCAAGCATGCCCTTTACACTGGCTTTTGGTTTTATCTCGCATCGGGTGGGATACCACGAAGTTTCTTTCCACAAATACATTGAATATTTGTTCGAAGCAATTAAATTTCTACCCCGGTTTCTTGTGCATTTACAATTCTCACTTTAAATGTGTATAAATACCTTGCCAAGCCTTGACATTTTATTAGTTCTGCACTTGAATCTAGGTGTATAATGGCGTAACTAATGATGTGGGGTATATGAAATCGTTGTTCATCCTGGCAGCCTGATTGGCCAGATCTCGAATTAATGTCTGGTTTATTTGTGGACTTGTTTCCTTTGTCACACGCAAAATTTAGACGTTTAGCTCTTATGACATAGGATATTTTACCTCAAAATTATTTTCATGAATTCATTATATTTTCCCTAATTTCTTCTTCGTTCTCCTACCTCTTCTTCCTCTGAACCAATTGTGGGCATTTCTAATACGCTAAAATGTTACGCCTATTGGTCATACATTTTTGCATAATTGTTATATTATACATTACTAGGCTGCTAAAATCAGAAAGACTTAAAAATTCAAAATGGTTCCCTACTGAATAGTTTACAGTTTTCGCGAGACCTAACTATTTTCAGCTATTGCATAATCTTACAAAGTGTACTGCGTGCTTATACCCTTAAGTGTGTATTAACAGAAAAATAAATGAAAATGCATTTCAACAAGCTTGAATTTGTATATCGCAGATATAATGACCCAGCTAGTATGGCTTTCTGTTTGGTCGAAGTCTCCTTTAGCGTGATGGTGTTGATTCCAACCTGTTTTCGCAAGGTATGAAGACCAAGATGGTGTGGCCTTTTGTGTGGTAGCAGTCTCCTTTCGTTGTATAGAGGTTGTT